TAACTCAGTGTTTTTCCTTAGAAACTGAAGAAGCCCATTAGCATCTTCTTTGGGCACTGGCTGACAAAGTCTGGCTAACATTTTAGCAGCAATGCTGTTATGTATCACAGTATCCATACTGAAATATTTGGATATTGGAGATTCTCAGCCATCAGTGGCTGTCTTTAGAACATGCTTCAGTCTCTTACATGGCCAGTAGAAAGTAGCTTGCTATGAATACAGGACCAGAAAAAGGGATGTGATAGAAAAGATTTTTTTCTTAATTTTTAAATTTAAACTGGCAATAGTAAGGTTTATTTATACATACAGCATTCCATCTTAAGTACTAAAAAAACCTTCCTCAGATGCTAAGTGCAGAGGGAAGGTGCGTTTGACCTGATTTTAAATGCTATGGGATAAACAGCCTAGAACTCAAAATACAAGGATTGTAAGTCTCCTCAGTGCCTGGTGAGTCATGAAACCTCTGCTGGTGTTACCCACAGAGTTAGGAATCTTGCATGAAAAATGAGCATTTAAACAGAGCAGCTTTTAAAATTGAGATAAAAATGAAAGTGCCAGGGACAAATGCAGAAGTAGGGGAACAGTTTAAAAGTATAAAATGAGAAAGGAACAAGGAAGCAGAAAAGCAAAGAACAGAATGCCATGGTCAGAGGGTCAAGGAAAAGAGGAATAATTATAGGGAACAGGAAGTAATCAAGAAAAAAAGTAGGACAAAAAACATCCTAGGCAGTGAAAGGAGGTAATGACAATAAAAATATAAGGATTTCTTTGGATCAATAGAGAAGAAGAAACTGGCCTCACCTGTGTGAGCTGGAAGGTATGTGACAACATTGTCCAGGGTAGGAGAATATGAAATAAGCTGAGATGCAAGAGAAGGGAAGGTAGGTTGGCAGTGTGTCCCTTCTGTCAGCAGGAAACATGGATGGGAGCCACGGTTTCTGTGTCTATGTTTTGTGTACATTTTCCACCTGAAGCACACCCACACGTAAATGAAGGTAGCTTTTCCTGTTAAGAACTAGAAAATCAGGAATCGGGCCAAAAAAAAAAAAGGCAGGGAAAAAAACCAATGCTGATTTTTCTTTTCCTTATCTGTCTCATGATGCCTGAGCAGTAGGATTTGGTGATATTACTAAAGTATTGCAAATTATATAATATTTCTTAAAACCCTTGGTATCCATCTAATTCACATTTCATTCATGTTTGTGTTGACATTTTGCATACTTTCTTTATGCCTAATAGTGAACCATTTTAAGCTTAAGCAATACTTATGAGTCTGTGTGTTATGAAAAAAGATGCACGGTTTCCCATATTCTTTTCAATAAGGCCTACAATATGAAAAGCCTCAATCAAGAAACTCTGTACATTTAGTAATAGCTTAATCTTCTCTCTCCATGTACTTTAGAAGAAGGCGAATAGAGATGACTTACCAAATTCTATGTAGGAGTCAGCTAGGTAGAATGAAACACAAAAAGGAAAACTCTGAGATCATTGTATTTTGCTGCACACAGCCAAAAGAAGGGGACCTGGGACTACTGCACTGCTGTTTGGCACAAGCCTACAACACGCAGTAGTGGTGTTCTGTAGTACCACAGCTAACTGGAGTGGCACTGAAATATCCTTTTGTTTTCCAACTGCCTGGGATGCTGGAAACTGCTTAGGATGACCCTCCAGCTGTACTACCACCTTATTTCATAGCCAGGCTAAGCAGTCGAGGTGGAGGGCTTGTTGGGCTATGCTGGTGTCCTGGGTGAATTGCTTCTGATAAATAAGTTGACTCTTTCAGAACTGGTTTAGGTATCTCAGCCTAGGATATGTCCAGACCATACACACAGAAGGTTTTAATTTTGGCAAAAGCCATAGACGTTGCTGAAAACCACACCAAAAAACCAACTGTCAATATGGAAGATGGGAGACAGCAAATCATGTAAGTGGAGGTAATAACATGGACCATTTAATTCTAAAATTAGTCCCCACTTTTTATTAAGTTTCAGAACATAATCTAACCTATTATTTACATTAAATTTTAATTGGTATCTCCTATCTACCCCTCTTTTTACTACTGTAAACATGGTTCAAATCTGATTTCCTTTTATGACAAGGTAACCCACCTTGTTGATCAAGTAAAGGCTGTTAATTTAATCTTTTTGGATTTCAGAGAAGATTTTGGTGGTGTCTCTCATAGTATCCTTCTGGACAAAATGTCCAACATACAGCTGGCACATGACAGGTGAGCAGCCGGCTCACAGGTTGGGCACAAAGCATTTTAGTGCCTGGAGTAAAATCCTGCTTGTGACTGGTCACTTGTGGGGTTCTGCAGGGCCCCATCTTAGGCTGTTTGCTCTTTAACATTGTTGTATACAACTTCTATGCAGGGCTCAAAGGGACACTAAATAAGTTTGCAGATAACACAAAACTGAGAACTGTTGATTATTTCAAAGGCAGGGAGGCCCTGCAGAGACACGTCAACAAATTAGAGAGATGGACAATCATCAACCTTATGAATTTTAACAAGGGCAAGTTCTGGATTCTGCACCTGGGCTGGGGCAACCCTGGTTGTGTGTATAGACTGAGGAATGATGGAGAGCAGCCCTGCGGAAAGGGACCTGGGGGTCCTGGTTGATGGCAAGTTGAATATGAGTCAGCAGTGCCCTGGCAGCCAGGAGGGCCAACCGTGTCCTGGGGAGCATCAGGCAAAGCATCACCAGCCGGTCAAGAGAGGGGATTGTCCCGCTCTACTCTGGGCTGTGGTGGCCTCACCTGAAGTATTGTGTGCAGTCTGGAGCACCACAATATGTAAAAAGACATTAAGCTCTTAGAGAGTGTCCAAAGGAGGACAATGAAGATGGTGAAGGGCCTCGAGGGGAAACTGTATGAGGAGCGACTGAGGGCACTTGGTCTGTTCAGCCAGCAGAAGAGGAGTCTGAAGGGAGACCAGTCACAATCTACAACTTCCTCAGAAGGGGTAGGCACTGTTTTGACTAGTGACAGGACCCAAGGAAATGGCCTGAAGTTGTGTCAGGGGAGGTTTAGATTAGATACTTCACCCAAAAAGTGATTGGGCACTGGAACAGGCTCCCCAGGGAGGTGGTCACAGTACCAAGCCTGATGGAGTTCAAAAAGCTTTTGGACGATGCTCTCAGGCACACGGTGAGATTGTTAGGCCTATCCTGTGCAGGGCTAGGAGTTGGACTTTGATGATCCTTGTGGGTCTATTACAGCTCAGGAAATACTGTGATTCTGTGGTATATTTATAATACAAATTTTGCAAGCTTTTAAAATACAAGGTGTTTTCTCTCTTCTGTGTTTAACCACAAGTAAAAGCAAAGAAAAGGAAGATAAAATAGTGAGAGTCCTAATTTAGGAAAGTACAAAAAATTAATTAATTTAGCTTTAGCAGTTTGGTTTTATATCCAGGATTAATGGACATCTGCCACAAATTGTTCTCTGTTCATGCCTTCCTTTCAAATGTTAAAATGGGATAAAATGTTTTCCTCTCACAAGATAGGTCCATTCCTGTTCATGGGAATCTGAGATACCATTGTGATGAATGCCATGAGAAACTAATAATTCTGGGTGCAGCGTAAGCTTGGGAAGATTTGCACTAAATAAAGGAGTGGCCAGAAACTGAATGAGCAGGGCTGAACAACTGCCCTTTCTGTTAGCTCTCATCCAGCCCGTGCACTAAATGTGGAAAAAAACCTTTTCCTGTGGAAAAAAGTACTGAGCCATCATGTAATTATAGAGTGGGCACGCAGTTAACGATGAATCCACACAAGGAGTCAGAACTGAGGCTGTGCAAATACAAGCATGTTTATTGCCTCTCCTACCATTTGAGTTCTTCACACTACATGCAAGAGCTTTTCCATGTAGGATGGTCTGGGGCTGCTGAACAAAAGTCATAAGGGTACCCTTTCATGGGTCCATTAGTCTCCTCGGAAGTTGTCTTATTTGACGTAATATATACTCAAACACACTGAGGCACACATGCATATGCTTACACCTGTGTCTGTTATAAAATAGTGTAGTGGTAAGGGGTAATCTAAATCATACAGAGAATCTATGTTCCTCCACTGAATTTCCTCCCCCTTACTAAAGTATTGATCTTTACAGCTGAGACAGATTATGCAAAAGGATCACACATAGAGGAAGGTTTTGTTACTGCTGTAGGAGGAGTAGCCAGGGGATCTGCAATTATGTGGGTTGAGAATATAAACCTCTTACACAGGAATGTGCAGGAGATCAGCTGCATTCCTGCAATCCAGAGCCTGCGGTAACAGCAGAGAAATGCTATAAAGCTACTGAATTAGAGAAGTCTTTTTTACCTTCCCAGTTTTGGTTTTGCTTAACCTGTTTACTGGGACAGCGTAGAGATACAACACCAGCTCTGTTTACATTAACTGGGGTGTTCATGCTGAAGCCTAATTTTTATGTCAATATTTTGATGTTTTCACTGCTGAATGTTTTAGCAGGCACAGCCAAATAGTCCAGAATGATAGACTGAATTTGTAGAAGGAAAAATATTACATGAACAGCTTTCCTTTTCTTTCTTTATGACTTTTAAAAGAAAATAGAATGAATTACAGGTGAAAAACCCTTAGAATATAGACTACCTAAGTATAGATTTTCCTATCTGGCAGATTTTCTGCTTACATTTCACTTTCTGGGTAGCAATTATTGACAAATACCATGTTGTATTCGTGTTGCCTTTACAACAATAAGAATGTTGTTTTTCATTCGGTTAGCTGCTCAGTGATAATTTTCAGAAGTTATTGTGCAGCTACTGTTGTTCTACTTGACAGAAGATTGTGTACACACATTTCTTGTCAGAAAGCATGCTTTTATTCAAAAGAATTTCAGAAGAGAGAAAAAAATGCATCCAGTGAATGGCATTGGTAAAATAAAAGAAAAAACTTACAATACCATTAGTTTTTTATGCCTAGATGCTGGTTAAACAGCAAATATAAAGGGAGAAAGTCAAGTTTGTGTACGGCTTTTCAGTATTTTATCAGTAATTTTAAATACAGTACAAAAGTCGTTTTTAGGCTATTATCTTCACAGTTATTTTTTTTTAATATCTCCATATCACTCCTCTGAGATGTATTTGAATTGTATTTGATTGTATTTAAAACATCAATAAAGGGAATTTTAATGGCTGAGATAAATAGCAATGTAATGTAGTTTAAAGCAATGGAGGACAAAAGGCTGAACTCCTAAGAAAAGTTAATTCTACATTTACAGGGGTGAAACCAATTAATTTGTAATTGAGCTTCCACAAGTAGGAGTCCAAACTAGAGGTGATCTTTATTTAAGTCATTAGTTGAACAGAATCATTCATCTGAGTCGTTATCATAGATGTCTGAAATAGAAAAAAATGCAAAAAATATTAGTATTGTGTACTTTGACTCAAGGAGAAAGTTATTAATTGTAATTGAATGTAGCTACTGTATTGTTTGAAATGTTCAACATACCCTCAGCAACATTGTCATAAATCTCTCCTTCGCTGTAAGTTAAAAAAAAGAAAAACAATACATTTAAAAATCGAGACATCAGATATAAATTACTGTTTGCATGTAGATATGAAATAGAGTAGTAGTATGGTACAGACAAGCTATCAAGTAATTAATTTGCTAATTACGAAAGTGCAACCTTTGTGGTGATAGAACAGTGCTTAGCAGGATGGTCAGATCAGAGGATTTTCAGCAAAGGGTTGACCTGGATACATTTCTTTTTAATATGAAAGGCTGGCTTTTTTAAAAGGGTGCGATTTTTCAATTAAATTTTTAAGCAGCTATTCTCATAGAGGTATTTCCTTAAAAAAATGAAGTACTTCCTTGGTTTTTCTAACTGAACACCAGAAATAAAGAATAAAAAAAACCCAGTATGCCCTTGAAATTCTTTCTGTTTCTGTACTTGGCAATTCCATAATTTTGGAGGTGCTTCTTTTTAGGTAATGAATTTAGGTAATGTCTATAAAAAATACATGCTTTATGAACAGGAATTTTCACAATATTTCACTTAGATATGTGAAGAAGCCCATGGAAGTCAATAAGGCTTTGTGTATATATATATATATATATATATTAAAAATTCAAATGTGTGTGTAAGTATTTGGATGCCTCTCCATTCTAAATGTGACAATTATAAATGTGACATCTGATTTGATATATAAGAGTCTCATATAAAGCCTGTTGAAGGAAATGGAAAGGCTTTGTCTGACAAGAGTTTTGGAGTAGAACCGAAATGCTGAACTCCATGCAATTATTCAGAGTAACACTGGGCCAAATCTGCTCAATCGTCATAAGACTGAAATAAAATTAAACCTAAAGAAAATTTGATCAATTTTAGTTAAACATTTGAAAAGGACATCAATACACCTAATCACATTAACTTGCAGTTCACTAATAGATTCTAATACTAATAATGCTTAATTTATGTAATTTTTATGGTTTAATCAGAGTTTATGGTTATACAATGAGGAAAGAGGCCCTGGTAAATTTCCAGTGTGGATGCATGTGATTAATTCTTGAGAAATTATAACTTCATAAAAATAACTCAATTTTCCAGACTAGAATGACAGACTAAAATAATTACATTTCATTTTTTTTTTAACAGAGTTTAGAAAAAAATTGAGTGCTATAACAATTTTTTCAAAAAGATCACTTTATACTTACTTTTGAACTAAATTGCTTCTCAAGACATAGCCATCTGTAAAAGTAAAATATGTATGCATCTAAGTTAAATTTAAATACTTATTACTTCTGTTGCTAGCACTAGTGAAATGCCTTATTTCTCTTTTATATAATTCAGACAGAAAAACATAATAGATGGATAACAATGTAAAATGGATACATACTTGATGAAGCTTTTACTATATCCAGTGTTTTAGTTATTCTTATTTGCCTGTTTAGTATAACATGGTGTCTTAGATAGGAAATCAGAATACTGTAGTAGCTGTGAGATCAGTTAGGTATCTACTGTTCTGGATACTTTACATATTCATAAAATGTTGTTTATCTTATTTCCTCCTTCACAATAATTTTTATTTTCTGATACACAAGACATGAAAGTATTTTTTCTTTTTTTTTAAATACACGGTGATGTCCAGCTAAAGAATCTCATATTTTTTGTTAAGGCTTTTTTACGTCCGAACCCTAATTCTATTCTATCTGAAATTGTCCTTTCTAAGATCTGGAAATATACTAGTAGGGGGAACCATGCCTTGTAAATGCATGTCAGATACAATAAGCTAGAACTGTTCCCAAAAGCTGATAAATTATTAGAGTCTTTAACTGGCAAGTGTTTTAATATATAAAAATATCCTATGCTTCCTATATGGAAAATTGGAAAAGCTATCCAAAAGGACTAATACCCCAAATAATGCAAGTAGTAATGAAAAACTTTTATTTAACAACAGTTTTTTGTTTGTGGGGTTTTTTTAAGGCAAGCCCCTCTTAGAACACAATAATAAGCAGCTTTTCTTCAAAAACAAACATTTGTATAATTCACTTTAACTTGGCATATTTCCGTCTTAAAATAGATCGATATCAGATGTTATATAAATCTCAAAGTACGTAAGGGGTTTTTTTCTAGAATATGCTATATATAGTGGATTAGTGATTTGACCTGTAAAAGCCATAATACATTTACAAACATGGGATTTTAAAAGAAAACTTCTGTCTTGTGCTAGAGCTGAAGTTGCCTAAAAAAGCATTAATTTTGCGTGATAATATTTTATTTTACACTTACCTACATTAGCTACTATTTAAGACTTAACAATTACATGAATTAAAAAACAGTTATCTGCTTTTAATATTTGATTGCTGCTATATAGGATAAAATTTGCTTGATTTGCCTGTATTTCTATCTTTGGTGTCATGAAGATTTGATACATACATGAATTCTTCTGTAACATTTGCCTACTAAAACTGTTGAGCTGCAAGTAATCTTCAAAAGTCAAAGAATCCAGTGCTCCAAATTTTCAGTCACCTGCGTATTGTCTCAGGCTGAATGCCAGCTGGAACCCATTGAAGAAGCTCTGTCTAATCAGGATTTTTTTAGCCTGGTTGTCCTTCCCCAGATTTTATTATCTGGGATAAAGTAATGGAAATGGATTAATTTTATTTATTTTTTTTAAAGATGTCATCTTTTTAAAGTTCTCTTTAGGACAGTCCAATAATTTCCATTACTTCTGAAGTCTCCAGGGAGTAATTTAAAATGATTTGGCTAAATCATTCTAATCTTCTGAAATACACCAAAGCAAAGCTTCTTCACTCACCATCATGACATACAAACCCAGTGTGCTTGCAAGTCATGTGCATGTGACTGTGCTTAGATCATGGCAAAGCACAATCTAAGTTTTGATGGTCCCTGGCCCTCAAATAGGTGAGAAATACAGCTCCTGCTTATCTCACAGCCTTTCAGAGTTACTAATCCCAAGTTATATGTCCAAAGTTTCAGTTTCTAACTAGTTCATTAATTTTTATAGGGCTTCCAAATAGGGAACAAGCCAGCAGGTCAGCACACTCTGTGTTAATTACTTTGCACCACTGAAAGCTATGACACATCATGCCAGCTGCTCATTTGCATCATAAAGGAAGCTCAGAGAGGACAAAAACTTTCAGGCAATGAAATCCATTTATAGCCTAATGTTTAAGCAAAATCTATGAACCTGAATTAAAAGTTTTTGTGTATTTAAAGATGTATGTGTTCAGACTAAGAAGGAATTTAAAAGGGTAAATGAAAATCGGTTCTTTGTTTCACTTTTGACATTTCAAATAATTTAATAACAAAATAAGTGATAGCAGAATGTCTTCCTAAGATCATCAGCCCTTGCTTGAAAAGGTGTAAACACATTACAGTATACTTTGCAATTCTTTTTTAACTGTTGGAAGAGGCTTGAAGCAATGGAAGTGCTTCAGAAGTTAATGATTAAATCAAAGAATTCATGTGCAAGAAAGTAACAAAGTCATCTCTAATTGCTGATTTTCAGTCTATCTGGCCTTCTGAAGGTAAAATCATAGCTTTAAGATCTGAGGAACTCGATCAATCACAGCAAATAACCAAAACTGTCATGCATTTACTGAAGTAGAATTCAAACTTTGCTAACTAATGTGGAAATTGACAGAGATCTCTTCAGAGGTTTCCAGGGAGGATATTTTTATTTGTTTTGCTCTTTTATGCATAGCAAAGCATAGCTCCTGTCATTATTTGAAAGGCTTTGAAGACTACGAGAGGAAAACAGCCAACATGAACTACTTTCTACTTTTTTATTTGCTTGGTTCAAAAAATGGAGCTTTGAAAGCTGTTTTTTTGGGAAGTGGCTCTACTAGTGAAATCCATATTTTGAAAAACATATGTGTGTTATGCAAGAAATTCTTCCTCACCCTGCAGGCCTGCCAGGAAGAAGGCTGTACTCCAAACTGTAAGAGTTGAGTATAGAGGGGAAAAAAATATTAGGAAAGTGCTTGAATCCCCTTCAGAGGTTTATAGCATTGGACTCTCTTCGACATAGGTCAGAAGTAAAAAGTAAAAATGAGTGAGAAAATGTTACTTATTCAAAGGATACTTTGAACCTAGGCTGTTCCAGCACAAAATGAATTTTCGTTAGGAGATTTGAAAAGTATTGTAACAGAAGTTCATTAAGAAATCGAAACCATCAGGAGATGGTCCAGAATTCTTCAAAAATGCAAAAACTTTTGCCAATGCAAACCGTAGCCAAAGGTTTCAAAGAAACACTGGAAGGCCTCTTGCAGCTCCCAGAACAAGTAGACACGCCAACAAGGACATATGCCTTGGATCAGCTAGAGTTTAGGGGGAAGACTCCTAAGCAATATTCCTCCCAGCCAGTTGAAAAGATTAAACTGCATCTCTTGCAACCAAAAGTAAGAATATTGTTACTGATTTTCTCTTGGCTGTAATCAATGAGGAAGTGCTATCCAAAGGTGCAGCGAGGACTTTACTTTTAGTAGACTCTGTGGGGTATCATAGCTATACTCCTTTTGGCAAAGAGGGAGAGACAGAAGCAACAGAAACATCTGCTGATCCTAGTTGATGCAAAGCAAAATTTCTGTAATCAAGTTGTCTATTTTTCTCGTATTCGTATATCTTGCTCCTTGGAGTGTTTTAGTTCTTTTTAAGGCAAACTACTCTTAAAACATGATAATGAAATAAAAACAATCTGCCTCCTGCCAACTACCAGACAAGGTAAAAGACAGATACTAGATTCTACTTGAATATGTTGTGGAAGAGAGTTTTCGCATATTCCAACTCAATCATTCTTTGATAATTTGATATGTGCTGCAGTTTTTTCATAAAACTTACATTCTCCTTTTTTATTGCGGCACAGGAGTTTGTTGTCATCCGTACTTTCTATAATATCAAGAGACTCTCCTGGTTTAATATGCAATTCTTTAGATCCCCATCTTTTTTTAGGCAAATTCTGAACCACAGTAGTAGAAAAAAGAACTTTTATTTTACCTACAAACTGAAAAAAAAGAAAAATACTGGTTAAAAATCATTAATGTACAGCTTGTGCTCATGCATTTTTTACTAAATTTTCTAAAATTAGGCAAATAATAGTATATGCTATGTAGTATGGGCCCACGCTTGCAGATGCTCAGACCACTATTATTACAAGTATTATTTCAAAGGATTAAGGGACGCAAATGAGAGCATACCATATAGATACTTTAGTTTTTATATTTTGTGAAAAAAACTTACTTTGAACAAAACTTACTTTGAATTTTTTCCGGAATTCTTTCTCTTTTCTTTCCATCTGTTCATGCTTTTGTACATCTTTTTCATCTGATTTCCTTTTTCCAAAGCTTACTACTTTTGATGAACTAAAGCAAGAGGTTACAGACAAAACCAAATCAGCAACACATCTGAGGTATTGGAAAGCTTTCTGATAATTTTGGTGAAAATGCATTTTCCTTCATGTGTCTTTATCATGATTTTGTTGCTCTGTAAAAATAGTGCAGGTAATACAATACAGATTTTATTTCAAAATTAATAAAAAAACTGGGGTTGTCTTTCGTGTTTTTCTCTGATGTTAATGTATCTATCACATAAGCGAATATTGAGGTATTGAGTATTCAAGTACTGAGTATTTAAGTATCTGTCTGCTACAGCACTTTAGAATTTCTCAGCAAGGAGCAATTTTTATGAAATCTGTGTATCTTTTGGCAATAAGCTGAATAACAGTGTATTTCACTGTGGAGGCAGCTGGAACATCTTAGCCTTACATATGTTAGTCCTATATGGCCATAAAAAACCTTGCTGCACCAGAGAATCTGCATTACATAACCCATTTCAGGTTCTGTTGTTTTTTTTCCACATCCCTGATAGTGTTGACTTCTGCCAAGAAGCATGGAAGTGTTTCATGCCCTAACTGTCCTTTCTGATGCTGTATATGGGACTGTAAAGTCTGATTCTCCTTTTTGATCCTTGCTGATTTCTGTAGGAGTTGTGGATGACAGTTTCATTAGTGATGAATGTTTGTGTGTGTGAACTAATCTAGACTTAGGTTAGAAGGGCCACATATTTTCCTTTGGATAAGAGCTCTCTCTGTTTTAACGTCTCCAGACTAGATTATCGTAGTCCACTCTGTTGCTCCACCTGAGTGGAGTAAGTGACACCAGAATGCATCATTTTGCAGTCATCATCACAGATGCATCTGTGCTCATAACATGTCTGTGCTTCAGAGATGACCACAATTTTCTGATCCAGGATAAAAGTCTTCCTAGCTGAACTTTACACCTCCAGATGCGTTTCCTACTTATAACACAGAGCCCTGTCTCCCTTTCTCTTAAAATACTGTAGCAGCTGAGATCAAGTATGTATCCCAGCAGTCCCCAAATTTTGATAGAAGAACTATGTGCAGAGAATCTACATTGAAAAATACCTTTAGGCCATGCATCCATTTCTACCTCTTACTTTTTCTATGGTCTAATTATTGTTCCAATCTGAAATGGAGGAAAGAGCATTCAACTGCCATGTGGTTTTTGAGAACTACAAAACCTGACAACACTAAATAAAGCAGACATTAACAGCAGTCTGCCTCTAGTAAATACTTTAAAAATGTCTCTCAATGTGTTAGATTTCTAATCATAATATTTCCACTTACATATCATCAAGCGGCGGTGCAGGGAAGTCCGAAGAATCCACGTCATCGTACACATCCTCTCCACAATCTGAAATAATAGTGTTTAGGAGAATGAAATGTTATTATGTGAAACTTGAGAAGTGAATACACTGTGTTACAGTCTATGGTATTTTACTGAAGTTGACAAGAAAATAAGGCAAGTACTGTAGCCATTTACTGTCAATAGTAACTGTGGATTCTCTGTTTAGCACGATCTACTGTGCAACACCACCCAATCTTTTCAGATTAAGACTCTTTAATAGCAATAACCAGTAGTCACTGAAATTTTAATCTTCTGAAGTTTAAGCAAGTTTTAGCACATGATGGGTAATGCAATAGCCTTTAATCTTCACTTTAATTAATCCATGTCCCACTATAGTGCATCAAAATATATTTTTGGAATTTGATTTTAACATATATTCAAGGACTTGTATAGCACTCTTGTCAATCTAACATTGCTTAAAAGTGGATATGAATCACGTGTATGTTAGTTTTTAGGCCATATCGCAACACCAAAGCAACGAAAAAAATCTTAGCCCAGGAATAATCTTTGAACCACATTCAGTGTATTTGTAGAGAGTAAGCAATTCTTCAACTCATCAAATCACTGCCTAGAGAAATCAGTAGGTTATAAAAGGTTTAGAACTCAGTTCTAGAAACAGCCTCAAAAATTGGAAGAAGTTGCTTTTTATTCCATGGCTGAGCCAATGGTTATGAGTTATATATCATTTTACAGGGATACTGCAAGTGATAAAAGTAACAACAAGCACCTTTTTTTACTTTTGAAGTCTTTTACTGAGTGCTTCTTTCCAAGCATATCTGTTCAAATTAAGTTCCAATAAAATGAACTAGTGTAAATCTCAGATAGAAAAATCACATTAAATGTATCAAATTGTTTTCTAGAGAGTTTGCAATGTATATGTATCACCTTGTCTGTAGCCAATAAGTCACAATATTTGAAATTTGTTTACTAGAACTGGGTAAGCAATAGGAAATCCTGTTTCCTTCCTTGGATGTATTTTTGTGACTAGAATGATACAGAGCAGCGTATACAGAAAAAAGGATCAGGAATCAATAGAGAGACTGAACAATAGACTATTAATTACCTTTTTCAGACGGCTTTGTTGAAGAAGATGTGCTGGGGGGGGATGTGAAAGAGAGTTTATTAAGTATTTATAACATATTCATAGGCTTTTTTGTAACCTAAATAATCTAAAAAATTGCGACACCAGGGCTCCAAATATTCTCCAGAAATTTTGAGGTGCCACTGACACCACCAATGCTTTGAGACTAAATGTATTTTTACCACTGAATCAAAGTAAACTTTTTCAGAACTGAATGACTGAGGCAGATGGTAAAAACAGCAGTTGCTGATCTAAACTGTAGGTAAGATGAGTAGAAGACAATCTTTGCATTTTTCTGTTTGGCATATTATTCCTAAAATTTGGATTAATGGGTCTAGATTTACCAGTTTATCTCAGGTACGTTGTACTGGTAAGCAAAGTACATTTTAACTGAGGATACAGCAAATTTGCATCACCAGAGTGGCACAAGCTGATGGATTATTTTGGTGCTCTTCACCGAAAAGAAAATTTGGCGTATTTTAGTTACCAGACTTTTGCAAAAAGTACGGCTTGTTAAGAGAATAATTATGCAGGTGAAAAGAAAGCTCAGTGTTTTTGCAGAAAAGTATCATCCTGAGCTGCAATTTTATGCATGATTCATTAGGCTGCTGTGAGGACATGTTAGTAGCATATGATCAATGCTTTATTAGAATTGGTTAATGTGCACTGTGATTTCCTGGCAGACTCTTACAATAAATTTCCATTATCTTCTGCCTCATTGACTTTGGTTGTTTTTTCTCGTATACTTTTCTTTTTGTCATCTTTGACCTTTAGCCTCTTCAAGATTCCCCAGGACCAGATACCATTCTTATCTTCATCCTGTGATACAGACCTTTGGAGTATGCATGCGATTATCACAATGTCAAATGTAATGTTCTTTTTAAAAGGCCCAGTTTAAATTCTCCATTGGTGCACATAATTATCATTAATGCCAACAATGTATATATATCATGAAGTGAGGTCACTTACCCAAATGGTAAAATGCTAAACTAGAAATATGTATGTTATGTTACTTGTAGATACTGAGTTATATTTGTAGTATATATATTAATCTAGTGGCTTACTGTTTTCATGCTGTTACTTAGCTAGCTAGCAATTAAGTTTGTTATTTTCATTTCAGACCTATTCTGTCTACTTGGGGATTTGGAGATTTTCATGACTGCAACTGCTTTTGCTGACTTACTAAAATTAATTACAGAACAAAATTTCTCCAAAAGACAGAAGAACCTTTTTAGTTTAGCTTCACAAATTCATACTGATATATACCCAGTTGCTGATCATCCTAATACTTGCTGATTATTACATCTAATTAAAAAATACTAAAACCTGAAAACATTCTGTTAAAGTAGAAAATTATTTAAATTATGTAAAAACTTACCTTGCTATGGGATCTCCATCATCAATTTCATCGTAAATATCTTGATTAGAAGGAGGAGGAGGTGGGAACACATCTTTAACAGATGAAACAATGAATTAATGCAAATATATTTAATGCTGCAGAATAGGGTATTCATTACAGGCCTCTTAACTATATTAGACGTGCGTGCAGTTTAGGCAATATCCTTGTAAATGGAATATTTCTGTAAACCAGCACAGTCTGTTTATTAAAACAGTGATTTAGACATATCTCAGTTGGGAATGCCATCCACACAATTTTAATGTGGCACTGCCAATCACAAGAGCATGGATACTGAATACATATGCTTCTACACTGTAGTCAATGAAATTCTAAATGGCTGATTCGACCCAGACACTAGGATGACTTTTAAATTTTCATGTGTGACTCAAGTGATAACTGAAGATGCCAGACCAATACTCTTAGTAAGGGACATCTTGTCTTCATCCATGGAAGTCAGAGATAAGTGCAATGTAAGCTACCCATTTTGGCCTCAGTTTTGACCTTTGGGCCCCACCTCCTTCAGTGCAGAGTTAGCTCCGTTTGCATGTGCAATTCCAGCCACCGGTCAGAGTAATCACTGAAATCTGTACTTAGCTGGCAGCAACTCCGTTCAGTACTGCCAGGGGATGCTTCTGCCATGACCAGTATCTAAACTCTAAGCTGAGAAGATGACCTGTGCTCTTGTGATCAACAGAGAATGTTATATAGGCTACCAAAGGGGAAACTGAGTTCGAATGTGTGTTCTTGACTGCGTGGAGCTGCTGCATCTGGGACTCCAGCGTATTACTGTAACTGAAGTTGCCCTTATCTCTGTTAGCAAAATGCATCTTTATTTGGTAGTATTTCTGGCTTTTTCAGAACCAGATTTCTCCCATGCAGAAACCCTTGCTCATCTTAGTATTTTGACAGCTCTATCTGTGCTGTTTTGTGGGATGATTTACCTTCACACACACACAAAAACTAAGTTCAGTCATCTGTCTTGCTAGTGATTCACAGTATCTGAAGACAAAACTTCTATCTCACTCAAGTTCCTGTAAGTGGTGGGGAAGGTAATTTGGCTACTATACTTCCTTGTTTGTTGCCCATTAGCAAACATTTAATATGCTTATGGGTAATTAGTGCATTATCTGGAAGCTGTGAAAAATAGACACTAACAACTCCCCCAAAATGTATATGTAGAACTTACTTCCTGTTCCGCTATTGTCAGAACCTAGGCTGGAAAAGCAAACAAAAGACATTTTAGAGAAGAGCAGTCATCCTTGAGCAAAAGAAAACATCATGATCACCCATCCCTTTTTCAGTTATTAATTCTAAAACTTTCGGCCTTAACACTCATGTTCATGTCAGCTGAACATTACAAGTTCTGCACTGGAAGCTCAGACACATGCTTGTGTTTTCTATGTGGGGAATAACTAAATGTGCCAGCTCTTCCTTTCTGTCTGCTTTCACCACACTCACATCAATTTCTTACAGTCAAATAAGTAGTTTGTATTCTTACTAATGCCAAAGAAAATGTGTAGTCTAGTTCAGACATGAACTAGCTCCTAGATGAAGAAAAATTGACTCTTAGTAGGTTCTGGTAAAGCAGGAAAAATGCTTCATTTTTTTTGCTTTTCTCCCAGGAAATAATTAGTTACAAATCATAAAAGAGTGCTTTAATACATCACTCAAAAGAATTGAAAGGGGAATAAGAGGGTTATCAGTACAATCCTTAGTATTTTATAAGTAAAGCTGTGAAGCAAATTCTTTATTTTCACAAATCAATGCAGATATTTCAAGCCAGTGAAGGTGCACTTTTTCATATAAGCAGAATATTGGGTCCTAATTGTTAGCAATTGTTAGCAATTTCCAATGAAGTGTCATTTTCAATGAAATGCAAATTGATGTCTACAGCTATAATGATTTACTATATTTAGAATATATTTTATATTCTTGCTCATATCTTTAAACTAAAGTACAAAATATGCCTTTGGGTCATATGATAATTTATGTCGGAACTGACCTCAGGGGGTCATGTAGTCTAACTTGATGGGAATAAAAATATAATCCAACTGAACACTAGAGAATGCATCCAGACCCTTTAGATTCATCCCTTATGAGAGATCTTCTTGAAATGAAATGTTAAACAGATTAATTTATTGCTCAACCAGCTTTCATTGGGTACAATTTAAACCTCTAACTGCATGTTTCTAACATTTCAAAGTTTCCGTGTTAGCCCAGTGTTCTAATAGTAGTTGAAAAAACCCTGAATGGTTCACAGTAGCTGAGATTACTTCCAAGTTAGAGTCTTATTTAAAACCATACATCGAACCAAGTTATTTGTCAAACTTTTGCGCCAAGAACTCCTGAAATACGACAGTCGTGATCACTTATTAATTTTTGAATATTAACAATACTGCTGATAATGAGCTAATACTATTTGGTCAAGAGATTTTTTTTTAGAATGGCATTCTTACAGTGGTTTCAAAACGTGTTGATGTATGTCAGACCTTCCAATAATTCATACTCAAGAACTTAACAGAATGCTATTAATCACTAGAGAAGATAAAAATGTCAAAATACAGCTTAAAAGATTTAATGAATCTGAGCAAATAATTCATCCTTCCAAGTTCCTTGGAATACACTATTATTTTAGTACACAACAGTGTCAGTATTATTGTTTGCTTTTACATTCAACAGATTTTCTAAATACCTTGCCTTGAGATGGTTAATTGTGATTCTTGCCATAGTGAGAAGGATTGGCCAAAGATACTTTTACAATGAAGTAACTATTGCTGAGATTACCTAAAATGTAGAACTAACTCATGTCTCCTGGCTAGGTCATGATGCCATGAGGTCAATGTGCAGGGAGGAAAACTGATATGGAGCAAGCTGGCAAAGTATCAGATTTGTTGCTTAAGAATGCCAGCCTGAAGGCAAGACTTTTCCAAGTGCTGTTTCTGGAGCTCAATGGGAATGTTCTATCAACTGAGGATCAGCTGCACTCAGCAGCCAGCCAGCTTCAGTCCTTTTAATCCTAGGCAGGCCTACAAAGTTAAGAAGCCTCATGGGAAGCAGTGAAATCAGGGGTAATGGCTGTTTCAAGATGGTTGTCCTACATATGGAAATTCTTTGCAGCTGTATGTAAATCCCTTGTCCCAGGCTATGTGTTTCTGCACATCTGGACACGTAGTGGAGTTTGAGCACTGGTTTGTTGCATCACATTTCAGAAGCAGGCTTTTATGTGAGGTCTGGTAACGGAGGGTACCACTGTCATACTAGGTTATGTGATAGCTTTGACTCCTGTCACAAGGTCACTAGGGTATTTCCCAGCCTGCAAATCTGATCTGCTGCTGGAGGTGGCACTTAGAGAAGTGTACTAAGAAGATCTTAACTGCGGATCTGTTTGACATGAAAAAGATGACACGTTGAAGTAGAGAGTATGCAGTGGAGCACTGCATTGCAAATGCGTGTGAGACCATTCCATAGAGAAGAAGCTTCTGGTGAAGTCAAAAAAGTCAAAAAAAATCTCATACCCATCTCATGGAACTTGAGAGGGCTTGTTTTCAGGATTAAACTCATTAGCCACACTCTTTCCTGAAGGGCCATCCTAAGCTTGATTCCAGAAGTCCCTTCTCTTCAAAAGAAGACATATAGACTCAGACTGAGGCTCATGAAAGCAATGGGGGTGATCAGGAGTTCCCTCTTGCAGTGAATTGCTTTTAGAGTCTTTTATTTTTTCATGTTAGAAAAGGGACTACATGACTTCAAAAGACAGGATGAGAGAAGAGAGGGAATGAAGAGAATTGCACTTCCTGCATATGATTTGTAATCCTGTATGGTTTGCATTTCGTTCTCTTTTGGACTGCAATAGTGTAGGTCCTCTTCCAATAGTACAAATTCCTCCTGAATATGGGAGCTTACAGATGATGGATTCTAGAATTCATTTGTACTCCTCTAACCAGCTTACATGTTTCTTATACAAATGACTGTTCTGTGACAAGAGTTGGCTTTGTTGTTGTAAAACTTCCCCTGGCTAGGCTGACTGGGATGAATTATTTTTTTCTTTCCATGTATTCCTTATACATACCTCATCAAGCTCTCCTGCCCTCCAACATCATCATACACTTCCATGTCACTCTCTGAAAATTCCACATCGGCTCCAGTAGGTGCTCGTTGCTTTCTTTTTAAAGAGTCATAATCAATCTCTACCATGGTTGTTTTAATGTATCCATCTAAATGAATGAAAGCATTAGGCAGAGACAGTTTTAAAGGTCATGGTAAAGGGATGAGTTTAACAGAAGATTCAGAACTGAATTTTTTTTAATGAGTTTTCAAAACTTTCAAAGTGTCTCATTCCAAGCAACCTAAGTTTGACTCTTCATCTGTCAACACAAATACAAATCTCAGATCTGTCTCCCCACTAAACCTTCCTCAGGTGGTGCCAAGTTAACTTCACCCTTATTTGCTTCTCAGCTGCCAGCTCAGAATTTTCTGTGCAGACTCCTAGAATCATGAGGCAGACTCCATTTCTCAGCTAACCTTGGAGCCACTGCAGTCCTGCACATATTTTAGGTCATCAGAACAGTTGGCCTGAGATGAGGAACTCTGTAGCTCCTGAGGGGAATTTTAGACAGTCCTCTTAAAAATCATGCAAGTGTTTTTAATAATTTTGATTGATTTAATGGATCAGTCTTTTATAACCCAGGAGCCAGATCATCAATCCCTTTATCACTCTCACAGATCCACTGATGATACTTATACAATTAGAGAAACATCTTGGATTTCAGACAAAATAAATACTAAAAATCAGTTAGAAACTTTCCGTAGGAGTAGAAACAAGATAAAGACTTAGAATTGGTCCTTATAGTCTCTATTTCTATTTTAGGAACACCAATGTTATGATTAAGAGAAAGACAGGAAAAAATGCAATCCTTGTTACTTGCAGGGTGCCCAGTTCTGATGCTATTTGAAAGCTGACAGGGAATTGCTTCTCAGTGTGTCAATGAAGGTCCCAGCATATTGTGCCTGACTTATTTTAGTGCCTATAAATGTTACATCATGTTTTGCAATAACTTCATAGTATGAACTAAACCTTTCATGCTAGCTGAGCACAGGAGGGCGAGCTGTGATAATTACTTACTTTGGTGGCCAGTGACTCAGCCTTGGTAAGGCTACTCTTTGGTGTAATGCTCACCTGTTTGCTGTCATACAGTGAAAACATTCAGGAGCACAAGGAAGAAACAGAACTCACAGCATCCTCCTATCCTGCCCAGCCACTTTCCTTCTGGGTTGTCTGTGAGGCGAATGATTTCAATCTTATCCCCCTCTTTGACAGTCAGTTCATTCTTCCCCCCTTTGTAGTCAACACAAGCTCGTGCCAGATGAAGAACTTCAATGGGTCTCATTAACTGAAGAAAAGAAAGAACAAAATAAATTACAGATGTGGAAAATGGAGATTTTTTTCTCCCAGACATTCAGAATAAAAGAAAAAATAACAGTTAGGATGATTGCTTGTTTCATTGACATTTAAAGTGGCCTAGGCAAATAAACAGAAAGGTTTTCTGCCTCCACAACTACCTAGTTTGGATTAATAATCAGAGATTGAAAGAGAGGGGAACAGCATGGAAGTAGACCAGTTGAACTGATTGGCAAAATCACAAAAATGCAAAGACTAAAACCAATGAACTAACTATGGAGCCTTTCATGAGTTTACAAAACAGACATATTTAATTCCAGTGCCCATCTCCATGTATTTCCAGCAGAACCACTCACCAAAACAGAGTCTTTTATGCTGGAAAAGACCTCTGAGATCACTGAGCTCAATAGAAGAAATATCCAAACTAAACATCCTCCAGCACAACTTGGGGCTACTTCCTCTTGTCCTAATCCTTGTTATGTGGGAGAAGAGACCAATCTCCACCTCACAACCTCCTTTCAGGTATTTGTTTGGAGTTATAAGATCTCCCCTGACCCTCCTTTTCTCTGGGCTGAGCACCCCAAGCTTCTGCAGCTGTTCCTCATAGAACTTGTGTTCCAGACCCTGCACCAGCTCCATTGCCTTTCTCTGGACTCTCTCCAGCACATCAATGTCTTTCTTGTAGCAAGGGGCCCAAAACCAGACACAGGATTCAAGGTGCAGCCTCACCAGTACCAAGTACAAATGGACAATCACTGCTGTGGTCCTGCTGGCCACACTATTGCTGATACAAATCACATGAGTAAAATTCATTAACATTAAGGAGTCTGTCACATAATCCTCTGTGTTTACAATTCTTTTCTATAAATGATATTGCAAGTACTCACAAGAGATGATCACACTGTTTACTAGAGTTTAGGATTTGCTTTGTGGGATCTTTACATTACGGAGAAACGATTTTGGATTGTAGTATTTGTGACTTTAAGATATATATGACGTTTCAGAGGCATAGTGCTCTTGCCAGTTAGAGAATAGGTCAGGAATATAGGTGTGTAGGTGGCGAATAAATGTGAAAGAAAATGCCAACTAAAATATATTTGTTTGCCTTTAAATATAATAACATTCCTTAATGTCTGTAGGACAACAGTCTGCAAGCTAAAAGCATTCTGTGCACTAATACCTACACTTCACAGGAGTGGTTAACCCACTATTATTAACTAAGTGGTTCTTTAATATTTGCTTATCAACTCATGCCAGTCTCTCCACAGCTGACCAAGGCCTCAATGTGAGACAATCACCATGGCTTTACTGTGTACTGAACATAACAGGAAATAAAACAAAGCTACCCACTATGTACAGTGACACTGAAAGCAGCACAGTGGAGCATTGTGAACAGATATTAGTTTAGAGAAAATGACTGGCTGATTTGCAAACTGTGGGAGCATGCTGACCACCAGATATATAAATATTATTTAATAACAGAAAGAACTGCCTCATGATTTAGCCTGAGACACAGACTTTAGCTCCCCTACACATGCCCTATTCATTTCCTCCCCACTTAAGCTGTAAATCCATTTAGATACCTTTATGCCAAGTGCGAGGGCAATATGTTGCAATTTTGAAATCTCTCAAGGGCTAGATACTTTTGTATCTGACTACAGCGAAGCAAGTAACACAAAGTATATGGGATACAATTCCCACTTTTATTAAAGACTTGTGATGCTATGCTAATGATGCAAATCACTAGAAACAGAAAAGTGAAAACAAATTTTTTTTTGGTTGGTTTTTTTTTGTTTGTTTGTTTGTTTGTTTGTTTTAAACATGGAAAGAAGCTGTGAAGGTAATTTAAAGAAAACTGTAAAGGCACTGAACAAAGTCCTTGTCATCAGTGCAGAGCTTGAAGTCAAGCATATGCCCAACATAAAAGGGTAGTTTAAAACTTTAGTCAGAATTTATTCAGGTATTTGAACTACCTACCATAAAAAATAGTTTTGTAACTAGATGAGAAGTGCATTTTGAACTTGACAATGCTAAATAATCCTTCTTACATGTTTTTGGCCAGATTACAAAACAAAAATCTTACTTTGAACTTCTTCCTTAATTCCAGTTCTTTCTTTTCTTTTTCCTTTTGTTCTCTTTTCTCTTGCTCCATTCTTCTCTTATCTTCTTTGTTCTGCTTCTTCTCTTTTTCCCTTGATGATCTGAAAGTGCATTGCCAGGAATGAATGTGTGAAGCAAATCTTCCCTAGAACTTCCTTACTCAAGGTTGATAAAAAATTACATGTGATAAAAAAAGACTTCTCCAAGTGAAATCAAAGCTATGGATTCTAAACTCTAGTGAAGCAGCAACAAATAGAGTAAAGAATCCTTTACTACATATATAAAGTGGCTGTCCTTAAGGGGACAGCACACCACGAAAGGTTACCTGGAGGCAAAATATCAGCTCTACATGTGTGTATCCAAATGTCCCTGACCTAATTGTGTTGAACAAGCTTGGAAACTGGTAGTAGTTTCATTCCTTTTTTAGGATAGTTTTGGTAAGCTGAATGAAGATCATTCGTTTGGGTTATAAAACATGTATTAAAATCACTTATTTGCAAAGGGAATTCACCAATAAATTCACCAAAGTCCTTCTAAATCTGAAGTATTCTACATCTATTACTTATTTGAAGGGAATTGGCTATCGTAATACAGTAAATTCCATACATTTAGATATTACCAGGGCAAAAGAGTCCTCAGAGTAAAGGTCTAAATGGAAGAAGAATAAGAGAGCTTGTATTCTGGCTAGTGTACTCAGGCAATGAAAATTGTCAATCCAGCCTCCCACAGGAGTTCTGATAACATTTATCTGAAAAGCAAGAAAAACAACCACAACAAAATTCTATCTGGTACCATAGTACCTTAGGCTGAGCTTATTTTCTAGAGAACTAGACTGTAATTCCAACAAGTGGTTCGGACATGTTCCTCAGATCAGAAATCAGACTTCTGTTACCTCAATCACAGTAACAACATCAGTTCGTTACAGGAGTTTTTCCAGAACGAGGCATGGCAGATCTAACTAGAAAAGAACCTTAGACCAACTGGAGTTTCTTTAGGTGAAATGAATGAACACAATAATCCCTGGCAGGGACTGCAGTGGAATGACACTTCTGTGCCAGATGAAATATCTTTGTTAACAAAGATAGTAATAAACATGTAATAGGTTATAGAATTTAAAATTGCTACCTGATGTCATTTATATCTTCATACATCTCTACATCACTTTTTTGGCCCTACAAAACAAAAAACAAACAAACAAACAAAAAACCAACAAAAACCAAACCAACAAACAAACAAAAAAGAATCAGTTTTAAATGGTCTGAGTACAATTGGAAAGACATGAAGAAACTGAGCCTGCTAGGTAAGCTTCATATAAACTATATAAAATACATTTCTAGCAAAATGCAAACACAAATTCCTTTAATCTTCCCAAAACAAGTTACTATATTATACAATCCCACTATTCTTTTTCCCCCTGCCTTTGTTTTTACAATACCACAGCTATGAAGTCCTGGATTGTTAGAATCACACTAGCGCACTATTTAATCCAAAGGGGACATTTTAATTACAACGTTAGTCCTGGAAAATCTGCATCCATGCTGTTGGTTGCACTGCTATGATGAAGGTGTCAGAGTTTGCACTATTTAAACTGGAATGTTAATGATCTAAATGAGGCTAAGATTAGGGTCCAAGAGACAGTTTTAGTCTTCCTACAACCAGGTACTTAAGCATACCAATATAAAACTGTGCTTAACTGAAATATTAACTGAAATATTCTATTACTAGAATGCAGCAGGATCCTTGTTTCTGGAAAATTGTAGCGAAATGAAATGTCAGTGGTATTAGAAGGTGTACTTTTGCCTCTTTTTTTTTTTTTTTTTTTTTTTTAATCAATTTTTCTTGTCTAGCCAGCTTTGAAAATTAGTTCTGGTTTATTCTGCTTACCTGAATTTATTTCTGTCCTTCACAATAAGTAAGTGCTTCTACAAATTACTGTCAATATACTGGATCATTTCTGCAATTTATTTTCTAATTTATTTAAGAGGTTTTAATAAATTTGGAAGTTTTTTGCTAAAAATGATAGGTTTATCTTGGAGGATAGCACTTACCCCCTGTGTACTTCCATGACCTATAGGAGAAAAAATAAAAAAAGGGTATTTATTTTTTCTTGTACACAAAACAATTAATTGTAGCATTAACTGTTTTAAACCGCTAATAATACAAGTGATATTAATCAGAAGTATGTGCAGACTCCAGGTTTTTAATGAGGTTATGAATGCAAAAATCAGAATTCTTCCGAATTGGTTTTACAGTGCACTCTAAAATAAAAATATCTACAAACAGCATATTTAACTCTGTATTTTAAAAGTGGAAAATTTGTTTTAAAGATTCTTTAATGACATTGAAATATTTACCTATGCTATTTGTTTACAAAAATGCATATTTATATGAGAAAGTCATGGTTAAAAACCTAAGAAATCCAAACAGATCTCAAAGAACTTTTTTACACCAGGCCCACAGCTGAATAAGGAGGCCAAAGGCCCTTTGGCTAAGGCAGTGTCTGCCCTGGGCTGCAGGAGAAGAGGCTCTGTGACTTTCCTGCTTCCTCCTTAGTTTGCAGGGAGTTAGCTCAGTTTCAGCTCCACAGTCTGCATTGCTGTCCGTCAGGGATGGCCAGCACACTAAATGATGCACCCTGTGCCTGGCACAGACTGAGTCCCCCCAAAGAGAGATCAGAGGGCAGATTGAAATTCTTTATGTCACAATCTGCTTCTCTGCTGCTCCTGGTACAACATAGCGGCTCACTGCCTCTAATTGAGGCAGACCACAAAACAACATTAAAAGCACAGTCAACAATTTTTACTTTTTTTTTAGCAAGTATAAACCAGTGCCTCCTTCACCAGACCACACAACTTCAGCTCTGAAAGAACAGTATTCATTTTGGTTCAGATTTAAAAAATCTGGTAATTTACAGTCCTGGTATATTTCTAATGAAAAAAAAAAAAGAAAGGAGGGAGGGAGGGAGGTAAGAGGGAAGTTATTTATAGCAGTTCCTGAAAGTCTGTCATATTAATCATAGAACAGTAGAACAGTTACTGTTGTGAGACAACTATCTTCACTCATGAAACTACAGAACCAGTATAATTAGTTACACAAATCACACATAGAAAACAATATTCTTTTGCTTATCTTATAAATACAACTTTCTTGCAGCTTCTCATAGTTGCCACTGATTAAAATGTATGCATCTTACCCTGTGAAACAAATTCCACATCATCATAATTTTCTTCATTTTCTGGATTTCTGTAAGTATGAAAAAGTAGACATGTGAAACCTATGAAGGCGGTTTTATATTTTATATTTATATTTTCATCCACCATTGTCCTGCTCCTTTTTCCATCTATTTTATGCAATGGCTGGACAGTCTATTGAGCTCTATATCCTACTTAGTAGAAAAAAGATTCTTTAAATTATTCTTCCTGATTGTGGCTCGGTGTTTCAGATGGGGACACCTTGATCTTGAGAATATAAGGTCAAAATAAGCCAAAGGCACTCAGATACCATGAAGATGAGTATGGTATGAAAAATACAGTCAGCAGGTGGACTGACTGAATGAAAAAAATATATTGGGCTTTTAAACTATCCTTGCAGGTGCAGGCTTCTTACACAATACACAAGCACAACGCCAGACTTTTGCTCAATGTTAAATATAGTTCTGAGACTACTCCTTGACTTGCAGGGCTTAAAGTCTAAACAAGGGACAAGAGAAGCAGTAGTGTAAGGTTAGGCCAGGTAAAAGGTCTCTGATGTTAGATTTAAAAGTGCTGTCCAGCTGAGAGAAGCAAGAAATTGAGAATATAACTAGTAATATCAGGGGTTTTTAACTTTAATATGTCTTGTAACAGCTGAAAGAGAATTAGGGCTGATAGTGATCATCCAAGAAGGGTAATCAAAGAATGGACTTTGAAGCAGAATGGGATGTTCTAAAATTGGCCTCATAGCAAAAGCACAGAGACAGGTGAAAGCACAGGTGTCAGCACCCAGGCACAAGTTTTCAGTGGGGGAGAGACCCCAGAGGGCACACAGGAACGGAAGACCAGAAGGGCCATCTGGAGGTAAATTTAGCAGGTCACTAAAGGTGAAGATGAGGATACCCAGGATGGCTGTTGCAGGTGCCATGGCCTTGAGACTGCAGCGATGCTGTCACTCTGGCCACACTGACACACAGTCCTGTGTTGGCACACGCCTCTCCAACTCTCCCTGTCTGTTGTTTGCTGCCCTTTGCAGTAACTGCTGGCCAGAGAGCATCTCCTTATTCAGGCTCAGCTTGATTCCAGTCAGTTTTGACACAGGATTAAAGTACTTATAACTCTTTTTCACCAGAGGTTCCACTTTTGTATGCAAGTCTTCAAAGAAGGATTAAGAAGGAAGCCCTGTATTGACAGAGGCTTCTCAGAGTTATCACATAAGGCCATGTTGTGTTCGCGGTACATTTTCACAACCAGGGTTGAGCTCAGTTCCTCTGGTTTGCAAAGCTACTTCCTGGGCTATCGACTCATAGACATAACTGTCCTTGCTCTCTTACCCCAGAAAAATGCAGGGTAAACCTTCAGTTATTTATTGCAACTGATTTTCTACCCATGTATGAAGTCTTTCAACAGGTTTGAAATAAAAACTCAGTCTATTCCCTTCTCCCCACCGTCCCCCCCAACAGGGCAAAAAAAGTGTTCTTATAGCTAAGGCAATTCAGGGAAACAACTGAATAGATGAAGTGTTCAAACTAATAAAAACAAATTCCAGACAGGACAAGGCCAGGGCAAGACAAGGAAAGTAGTAAGACTTCACTCCCCCAGAAACCTGGGACTCCTGTAGTATTCATCTGCAGCTGCATGAGCAAAGTAACAGTTAGAAAAAGGTGAAATAATAAAGACCTTGAGATTTACGTTCACTTACCTTGTTTCAGAGCTGGGCTTGATGTTTCTGGGAGGCAGACTGGGAGCTACCTTAACCTGCAGGGCTGGGTAAGAGATTGGTGGAGGAGGTGGAAACTGTGGGGCAGATGCTGCTGAGGAAGCTGCTGTCAGTTTCAAACCTTTAGCTGTTGAAATAAAGAAGAACAGACTGATGTATCAAGCTGAGGACAGAACCTTGCTGTTTTACATGTAGTATTGGGTAAAATATCAGTACTGAACACATGTTTCTTATAAATCTCTATTGCATTATCTTACCAGAGTGGGGAGGAAGAGGCTCTACATAGAAGAATGTACTGCCTGCACAAGGTCTTGAAAATGTCTTTGCCAAGACATGAACAAGATGAAAAAACTTCACAGGCCATCCAGTATATACAAGTACCTGTGCTTTGAAACTCATCATCATCATCATCACCATCATCATGGCTGGGCTTCGCGAATGAAGATTTGGGAAGGCTCTATCCACATTTTTTACAGGTATGTTGGTGACTTGTGAGGCCAATACGTGACAGACATATCCAATTGCAAAAGGCACAGCAGAAAGACTCCTTAGATGGTATATTCTGCAAAACACGGTTCTTTCTGCGTTGCCTTTTCTCCTCGAGAGTGATCCTGCGTGTGTTCTCAAAGGAGATAGCAGTGTTATAGATGGCATGTCTCCAGGCCTCCCGATTTGAGGCCAGAGTAGACCAGTTATGGTGATCAATATGGTCAAGGCTGAGATCTTGTTTCAGGGAGTCCTTGTATCTTTTCTTCAGGGCTCCTCTCTTGCAGCAGCCAGTGGCAAGTTCACCATAAAGCAAGATCTTGGGGAGGCAGAGGTCCTTCATCCTGGAGATGTACCCTGCCCAGCACAGCTGTGTTCTCATCAACATGGCCTCTATACTTGTGACGGCCGCTTGCTCTAGAACAGATGTATTGCTCACAAAATCTGACCAGTGGATGTTTAGGATTGTACAGAGGCAGCGGACAGAGGTTCTCCATCAACCTGCACCTCAGGAAGTCCCCCACTTTGAAACTAAATTGTAATATAATTCCACAGTGTACTTGGAAAAAACAGCTGCAGAATTTCATGTGAGTACTCATGCAGTCTTGATGACTTTTTCTTGCTCAGAGTTTTAAGGGAAAGGATGAGAGATAAAATGATATTTTGGCATTTATTAAAAGATATACAGGTCCCCGAACATCTTCAAATATGTATTTAATGAAAGTTTTACAAGGCTGGACATAATTTTCTAGCAAACCTCCACTAGAAAAGTGGCAGTTTAAGAATCTGCACAGAAGCTATCTCAACAGACAGGTGTAGTCTTAAAAAAATGATGATGCTGTGCACCAGGCAGAGAAGCCATAATTTCTTGAGTGAGCTGGTGTTCATATGTGCTGGACTGAGTTCATGCTCCATGTACAAGTCACAAACAAACCATAGTAACCATTGCTTTGAGAGTTCATGTCAAGAGAATTTATTCAACACAATCAAATTCAATCACTGTTTGGATGTCATGATATTAAACCTAGAATTTTTTCTGAATCATCACTAGTGGATTAAAAGCTACCCAAAAAGAATTGTCACCAGTCACATGGGGGGAAGCTCAACAAAATCCAAGGAAGAAGAGAACAGCAAGAAAAAGGAAATTCAGAGTTAAGTTAACACAAACTACAAGTGAAAAGAAACCCCCTTCTCTTCTGGAGATTTTCTTTAAGTTCACATCTGTATAGTGGAAATTAAAATCTTGTCAAGAAGGAAAATGTTCACACCACTGGAAAAAATTGCCTTAAACACAGAACAACAACAAATACTTAGTAATGTTTAATATCAAGACATAAAGTTACAAAAACTACTGGAAGACCTTTTTTTAGCTGCTGAGATGTCTGAAATTCTGTCTTTGGGATAGACAAGAAAAGGGAAATTGGTAACTTTCAGAAGGATCTCTCATGTCTCATGTGGAAATCAAAGTGAAATTATCAAGCCTTGACAGTTTGTCTACTTATTACCAAAGAACTCAAAAATATATGGAGAAATTTTGCTTCCTGGCTGGATAGACCAACCTGCCAACATACATATCAACAAGAGTGAATTTGAAACCTGTAAATTCCTTCATTACTTAAATAGCAAAGTACTAATAGCCCCAACACTGCTGATTAAACAGGTGGATTCTTTTGTGTTTTTGTTAAGGAACACATTTCTTCATTCAACACATATGCTTGCATTTGAATAAAGGCAAACTTTGCTTAAATGAGCCAAGGTTACACATGATTGTGATCTTGTATCTGGGTCTCATACGATGATGTGGTAGCATTTAACTCTTCACAGGCTTTATTCATCCACAGGTTTCATCACCTGTGACCTCTTATTGTTCTGAAACCCCTTATAAAGATGAATAGCACTGACTATTTAAACATATATCTGCAGCTGAGTTCTAGATTCTAGCCAAAGAAGGCAACCAGAAAGAAGGGTTTTTTTACTTTGTTTTTTCTTTTTTTTTTTTCTTTCCATAAAAGTCATGTAAATTGGTATTAATATACTCTCAAATTTATTTTTGTGTTTTAACAGGGTATCCTATATAGTTTTTCTGTGGTTAGATTTCTGTTGCCCTTATGGAGTGTTGTGTATATGTACAACATGCATAAAAGCATTATGTCATCATATTGTGTTACTTCATTGTGATTAGTCTGTAGGACTAAGGTAAAAATTCTACCCAAGTCTCAGTGCATAACACTTCTCTGATCTGATACGCCTTGGAAGCTAAATCCAGGCAATAGGAAACTGAGCCAGGAAAGGACACCACATGCATTTTAGATTTAGTGCTTATTTTTAAGTATAAGGGCTGAGTGATCTGTACTTTTTTATGTACATTGGAATCTAACAGTAACTAAATGATCATCATAATAATGGAAATAACGCTCTTTATTGTCTAACTATTAGAATGGACTCTTCTCTGCCTTTAAAGTTGTAATTAGCCACACTTATGACTGAGACTGATGTAGGTGTAAAATGCTTTACTTCGAATACTGGAAATAGCAGGATGAGTTAGGTAGGAAAGTGGCAAGCTGTATAAAAACGCTGTTATAATCAGGCCTGATAAGCCAAAGCTATCATAAAATTTCAATAGTGTGTTTTTTCCTATTTTAGTGGAGCATTTAATTTTGATTCCAGTTTGGGGGTTTTTTGTTTCTTTGGTTTGGTTTGGGTTTTTTTGTGTCTGGGACACTTGGAACTCTGAAAACCCGGAAAGGCTCTGTGCAGGTAGTGGAACTGCAGTCAGCTGCAGACACTTAGATCAAGAATTCAAACTGAAACTACATTCTGGCTTCACATGCACCTAAAGCATTCTCATCACAGGAAACAGTGCTAGGGATGATCACTGTATGGTAGCTTTGACCACTAACACCTCAGCTTCCAAATAGCCTCTCCCCTCTTCTTAGGACTGAACTTTTCACATTCTGTACTGCACTGAATAAAGAGATGCAGATGAAGATGAATAACCAATTATCAACCTGACCAGAACAGAAAGAGTAGAAGAAAAAAAGCCACATTTTTTAGCACTCACACCTGCAGTTCAACATCCATTCACTGATGATACAATCTCTACTGATCAATCAAATTTGTATTGCAATGAAATGTGGTTATTTGGCAGAAAGGTTTTACCTGACAATAGTGGCAAATATTAATTTTGATATCTCCCTTGAACCAGGAAAATATCCCATCCTAGCAGAGAGTGATCTGGATTCAGCTATTTGTATTTTTCTCATACTTGGCTGAATTGCAGCAACAATGTGTACCTGCTCTCAAAGCCAACAGTGCCTTAGAAATCCCAGTTAGCTCAGAATAGCTGTATTGATTTTATCAGCAACACATTTTCTTCCTAATGCAATAGCCTGGCCTTCAGCCTCTAAGCAGTCCAGACTTAACAGCAAAGAATGAACTCTTAATGATGTTTAAAGTATCAGACTGTAGCATCTAAGCTGTTAATTTCCTCAACCCAGAAATTTCTGGCTCAAAACTGAATTAGAAATTTTTAAACAAAACTAAAACCAAACAGCAACGCATATTGCTCTACCTTCCATTTCGAGTTCACTCTCATCGCATCTGCTTCACCTTAAATGCATTGACATATGTAAGAAACAAGACACTCTCTTGCACACACAAGTGGAAAACTGTTTCTTGACTTCACATCCTAAAAAGAAGACTACCCCACTTTTCCTTTGGCCTAGAGTATGGCCTTTGGTGAAAGCTTATTCCCTTTGACCCCTGACGCAGTGAGCTCCTGATGCGGTGCTGACTCCTTCTTTTAGTAACTTAAAGAAGACCTGACAATGATCAGGTACAACAGGGAGACTCCAAAAATTCTGCAGGAAAAAAATGCCTGGAATTTTAAAATTTTTAATGAATTTTTATATTTTTCGTAAAAAAGAACTTAAGGATTTTTGAAGCAGCTACACAGTAAACAATCTTACATTTTGAAAGAAGCACAGTTCCGTAATGCAAAACACTTTTGAGCTACACTGCAAACACAACATGTTTTTCAGTCTTACTGCAAAACATTTCACCACTTCTACATTCAAGATCTGGGAAGTTTTCTGGGTTTTACAGAGGGTTTGCTAAGAACCTACAACAACATCTGCAGCAGCTGATCACCCACTTCCTACCTAATTCGTAATGTGCAGAGAGCTGTGCTCTGCTCTGCTTCCCTAACTGCATTTTCGTTTAGATACAAGCCATGGTTTCAGGTTTCACAGTTATGTTGCTTGGGAGCTGCTCAAAGTGAGCAGGTAAACGTAAAACACTGCTGAAGCTCAGTGCTTTTGATTATACTGTTGACAGACATACCGTGACAACAGAGACACAAAGTTCATTTGCGACGCTGCTCATGCAAAACAAAGACCATAGAAAGTTTGTGATTATTGCTCTCCAAAGTCCTTCAGTATGTAAAGTTTGCAGTACTGAGCCTTATTGTGTCTAAATATGAGGTTAGATATTTGTAAAGCTTCATCTGGGCAGTGCCGGCTGGCATAAGTGATTTCAAATTACAGATGTGTAATCCTACACAGACGCCTATTCTTATGTAAAGGGGAACATGAAGAATTAATTCTCAATTGAACTAGAGTTGAAACTTTTCATTGTCTGATAAAA